AATTTGCAGTAAAAAAACTTAATCCTAATAGTTCTAAAATTTAAAGGGATAATGGGGTCGTTAAAATTGTTATTAATATAAAAAAAGGTCTTGATGCATTTAGAATAAAAAAATTAAACAACTATAATCACGGCTATAATTAATGTAGCTGCGAAATACTATTAACTAAAAAGTAGCATAATTATGTGTTACACCGACGAAATTCTATTCTATCTCTGTGCTAAATTTTATTGAAACAACAATGAATGTATTTTTGTATATAGGCCATAAAACAGCCCTTTTACCCGTCAAAATCTTACTCTTACTAATATTATAAATGCAAAAGTTACGATGTTTGGATGTTTGTTACTCAATCTCGCCAAAACGGCTGGACGGATCTGGATGAAATTTGGCACAGGTATAGGATACACACTGGAATAGGGCTAAATAAAAATAGACCACTTTGTATATAAAAATGCATCATTATTTACATCTAAACCACATTATCTTAGTACATGTGTAACAACCAACTAGCTTAATTAGCCATTCAATTTAAGAAGAATTCTGGTAGCACTCGGGTTTTCTTAAATTCATGAATAAATTAAACAATGAAGTTAATTGCATATTATTTTTTAAATAATGACGTACATTGTTTACAACGTTGTTTTTATAAAAATGTCTTTTAATTTACTTACGTAATTTACTATACGCACCGATCGGTTTTGCCATGACATTGTATTATAAGTACAACGCAATAAAACGCTCAAATTCTATGACGCAAATTCATAGGAACCCATTATAGGCAGAAAATCTTACATTGCACCAATCCCCTTGCACCACGTTTGAATTTCAAACCTTTAGTTGAGAGAATAAAGTACAAAATCCCTGTGGGGTACATTTTCAGGGTATGTTACGACTAAATGTGACCTCACCTTACGAAAATATCCGAAGTTCCACGACGGCGGGCGAGTAGGAACAAGATGGCGGAAGGTTTCCCGCGCATGCTCACCCCTCGGATCAAGTGACGTCACGTAGTGACGTACATAGGGATGGGGTAACGCTAACATCCCCTGAGAATTATCGATGTTTTTCAGTAACTGTGACATGTGTATTTTTGTGAAAATTTTCTTTGGTTGGCATATTTAGGGATGTAATCCTACTTATGTATATATCATAAACGTGAAAGCTTGTAAGTATGGCTTAATAATGGGTTTTCGTTACTCTATCACGTAAAGACTTCTGAACGGATTTGAATGAAATTTGGCATACAAATAGATTATAGTAAGAATAATAAATAGGCTACTTTTAACTCCGTTAAAGCGGATGAAGCTGCTGGCGTTGCAGTAAAACATTATAATTCTGTAGTCGTGACTCATAATAAACAGTTTTTCGCAATTCTCTCATAAGAAAGAGGAAAACCACCTACTCTATCTAAATTATAGAAAACAACAATTATAGAGAACACATGTACATGTACAGGTATTTCATTTACAATTCAATTCCCATTTTCATATAATTTTTAACTAACAGCAAACTCATAGGTATTCCGTTGTTATTTTTATTAAACGTAAGCAAGTGTGTGTTAATGTTTTGTTTCAGAAGTCCAAAATAAATATGTCCTACCAGGATTTAACCTTGATTTTGAGATATAAAGAGGACCTTCAATAAACTGCGTAAGTATATACATTATCTATTAGATAAAACACACGCTATACTAATAGGCAATCAATTTTGCAGTACCTACGCATCTTTGTGACAAGCCGTTGTCTTCGTAAACATTATAATTAAGATAGTGAAGAGTTATGAGCGTAAAAATAGCTACCGATGACATCGAGCGAGGTAACATGTTCTACAGAATCAATATTACGTCTTAAGTTTATGTTCAAGGAGATAGGGAGTCCCTCTGTGTTATTACATGGAGTATGTAACTAAATATACTTACTTATTATAATATAGCTTATCCTACTTGACTGAACATTATTCTAATTATTATGAAATAAATGAATTGAAACTATCTGACAAAAAGATTCTGTAAAAACAAATCAATAGAATAGGATGAATAAAATATAATGTTTATGAAAATATGGGTCTTCGGATAAAATACACGTTTACACGTCAATTTTACCACTTTATTCAGAGATGGGCCTATGAGTTTGTTTCAGCATTTCTTCTTAGAGTACCTAGTCAGATAGGAAGTGCTAGTTTTAAAAGTGCAGTTTTATGCAAAAAAATTACATATTTTTTCATTGATAGTGTCAATATTTTTTGTACTTACTTTCATCAATCAAGTGGTACTTTAGAATGACCTAAATAATGACATAAGTATTAAACAGTAAAAATATTTATAAAATGTATATGAAATTATTCATAATTAAAATATTTGCAGTTTTATTGTATGTTGACAAATTATGTCATGTTTATGAGATTAACTCGTGGTAAAGTGATTGATAACAGTCACTGCAAACAAACTTTCCTCTTCCTTATCAATTTTGTTAATCTTATCTCTTGGGGCTCGCCTGGCGTGGAGAAACACGTCACATTTAGAATTTTATGACGTTTTCCGAAGGTTGAATTTTATCAGTTTATATTTAAGGGAGATTTAGATAGGTAATATTGTAGATATTACATACGTAATATATATTGAAAATAACGACTTACTCACGTGACTTAAATGAGAAAAGCTCGACTAGTTTCAAGTCACAGCGGGATTCTTATTCATGAGCAGAGTGCGCATTGCGGCGACTGCGTTATGTCGGGGTTGGCTGCGAGACGTTGCGTTGGGACTTGAAACTTGTAGAGTTTTTCTCAATTTTTTCACGTGAGCAAGTCGTTACTATAAAATCACAAAAGATTTACTAAAACCTGAAGAACCTATACTTATACGTATTTTATGAATTATTGATGAAACCATAATTGTTGTCTTATCAACATTATTCGCCAGATGTAACTAACAGGGCCAAATCAATTTATATCGAGCGACCCGGGCAATAAATCTTTTTGGGGATTAGGGATTCGAATATTTAAAGTTTGAGTTCCCCTCAAACTTTTTCGGATCTGGATTGGGCCTCCGATAACCTCACTCATACGGCGAAACACAACTCAATGGCGAACTTTGTGTTAGACCAAAGGAAAATGAATGATTCTCTCCAAATACTGCGCGTTGGAGTTTCTTGTTCGTTTTCCCTATCGGAATCTACACAACACTTTGGAAAGAGTTGAAGACGATTGATTTTGACAATTAAATTACAATTTGACTTGGAATCTATTCACTTTATTATTTACGTGACGGATTACGTGGTGGTTAGTAATCATCGCCACCCATGAACACTCACAACACCATAGGAGATACTACAAGTGCGATGCCGGCGTCTTGTGGGATATCAGGGATTTAAGGGGAAGGGGTTTGAGGATTGAGGATGGGGGAGGGGGTAGGATTGGGCCTCCGGTAGCCTCACTCACACGGCGATAAACAACGAAAGTGCTGCTTTCTGTGAGGCCGTAGTATCACTCCTTTTGAGCCGACCCACTAGCGCCGTAGCATGGCTCTCCCACACTTCAATCATTATATAAATGAACGTCATTGACGTCGCTTTGAATGTGAATTCCGAATCCTTAAGTAAATTATTCGAAGTGTCTATCATCATCATCACCATCAAATCTGCCACAAGCCATAAACAGCTCCATAAAGACCCCTCCCCCACCCCTAAATACTCCCGGATAAGCCGGTAGGAAGCAAAAGGCATCAAAACATCGTGTTAATATGTTTATGTCCTTAAATACCTACACTTGTAGTGCGAAGTGTAAATAACTGGTTTTGACCTGTAATTACCACATTTGTAATAATTAATGTTATCGCATATACCTATAAGAAACCGATTATTTTTATTGTGATTTAATTACCTTATTATAAGCTACTGCTGTTATATTGCTTTTCTGCATTGTATAACGCTTCTTATTGTTCTTGAGATTATTTTTCTTTTCAGATTTTTTGGCTACTAATTAGTGTGATACTGAATGTAACCATCCACTTAATGATGCACAAATTTAATTGTGAATCTGTTTTCAAAAAAGGTATCTAGGTACGGACCCTATTGATGGCGTAATTTGTGGATAGAGTAAATTTTTAGTCAGTGAGAATCTTGGATTTCTTGCGGGTCTGCGGACGACGGCCCGACCAGAACCACACCCGATTGTACGTCGCGTAGCGTTCTGCGCGCGCCTTAAAGAGCCAGTAGACCAATACAGACGGGGCCCTATAGAACTGATGTTCAGCCGGGGTTGCGGGGTAAGCGCAATGAGGCACCTCGACCTCGGCCTAGAGCAGGAGAAGAAACGGGGTGTTTTTAGTCAGTAAGATTCTGACAATCCCTCTAGGCAGACAGGAGAAGTAATTTGATGACTAATCCCCTAAAAAAAATCACACTCAAGAAACGCTACAAATGTAAACAGAAAAGCCTGTTGTTTCATAGATTCTTTAGTCAGTTGGAACACAGAACTTGATTATCCTAATCAGCTGTTATAACCTCTACCTAGAGGAGGTAGAATCTAATGCGAAGGTAATTCAGACGAAGTGACGACACGGGCAGTTATTAGTAATTAAGATATAACATCATAGGTCACGACATCCAACGAACAAACGTTTTATTAATACATGAGCAGCGTCTATGAACATACTACATTCTTGTTAGAATTATCTTTCCCATCTAGGTACCCATATTTGTACACTATGAATTTTCAAATTATTTAAGTGGAATAAATAGACAGATGCGACGATTTTCAAAAAAAAAAACATGTTAAGCTATTAGATGGCACCTATGAGGCAAATTTAGTTTTCTTCATCTTTTTTTTTAAATTGATTGTTACCTAAATTATTTTAAATCATTGATTGATACATATACTTTTTGTGTATTCGTTACATAGGAAATTCAATGTTGTGACGCTCTTCAGTAATTATCGATATTCACCTAAAAACAAGAGTGTCCCATCTCTAGCCGTAGTGTCGATGTCGGCAGTCAGTAGAGCACGCCCGACGTACGAAGTACGCGCGTCGCGATCGGATTTAAAAAAGGAATTTCGGAAAAAAAATCGAAATTAATACGAATAATATTGTTTCTTAATTTGAATTTTGCATGGACGCTGGACAGTGGTCGGACCTTTAATTTTGTAAGTAAACATTTTTATTTTTATATTTATCTTCGCACACACGATTTTACGTAAGTTTAATTCAATTAGGATATAATAAAAATCGTTTAATTTCAGAATTTTATTGATTTATCTCATTTCACCATTAATATGAACATTGATATTAACCTTTTATGGAGAAAATCACAATATGACAGCAATTTAAATATTTTTCTAAATTAGTGGTAAGTTAGTAAGAAAATGTTAAATAATAACAATGATTAAAACAAAAAACAATTAGGATACATATGAAAGTGGCGCAAATAGCTTACTTCACCCAAATGTTACGTAAACCAACCAAAAAAAAAACTTATAACTCCTCACTTCAAAATTCGAACAATACAATTTGAAAATTGGATCTATGATTTATTTATATTTTTAAAGCACTGATAATGTTCTATTCAGCCTAAAGAAAAGAGGTTATAAATAAATAGACCTGAAGTCCACATGTTGAAAGGTGTATTTATTGATTGCGCGCGGCAGACTGGTGGGCGGGAGGGGGGAGGTGCTGGATGCGCATAGGAGCCATGGGGAAGGTCAGGAGAGTTGGGCCTCACGTGAATATTGCACGTGGCGAGTATTTAGGAAGTAAGATTGTACATACCATAGAATATTGATATATTTGTGTTTTTCTCAGCTTTCGTTTGGTAAATATTTGTTAGTTCCAAGCGACTTTCTTTGTTTTCGACTTCGTTAGTGTATGTTTCCCCGTTATATTAGACAAGCGCGAATCTTTAATTCTAATTGATTATAAAAGCCTTTAGGTATTATGCGCGTTGGTATAAAATAGATACCGAATACTTGATTTATATGTTTTTTTTTTATTATTACCTTAAACTACACACATCATAGTGCCATTTACCAACAACTGGTAGGTAAGTACAAGCTGTGTTCTTTAATAAAAACTTCGATCTTTAACTCGCTGTAAGCCTGTAAGCGGCAAACGGTAGAAGAGGCGCATCCGTGCTATACATACGTTGGAATATTCCTAAAATAATTTATAACTAGATCTAAGAAAGAATTTATCCCACATGCGTCAGTTTCTTATTTATTTGACTTTCGGTTTTATACATACAATGTTATGTTCTGAAACTCTCAGACCGTTTCGGAATGCGAGAGTATCGGAAAGAAAATCTATATACTTACCTAATTTTAGTGCACAAAATAACTTTTGAGTTTTTTTTAAAGGAATTTTGTGGATTTATATATTATGATAAGTCTCTCATTTAATTAAAAAGATGTAGGTAACAATAAATTATCAATTGCTAATTCAGTTTTCCATTTTAAACGAAAAACCTTTTTTGATCAATCACACTGCATAGGTACAAAACATTTTTAAAATAACTGTTAACACTGAAATCAAGATTAGTTACAGGTTTTTACACAGGAAACTACATGTCAAATTGTTTCCTGAAAGTCATTCAGGTTGTATATAGGAACAGAACAAAGCTTATCAAGGACGAATGCTATGGACAATGTCCATGTGACGCCACCATCTCATTACCATTTTATTGTATGAGCTATGTAGGTACTAGTTCATTCATTCATTCATACAAACATACCTACATATACATATATATCTACATCTTCTATACTTATAATAAATCTGTAGAGAGGTCAATTCTGAACAATAAATATATTTTCAAAATAACTATCAGGGGGTGATAATTGATCGAGACTGATGCCAAAAATGCAATCACTAAAATTTTTGTCTGTCTGTCTGTCTGTATGTTCCTAATAGAAACCAAAACTGCTGGACAGATTTTAACGAAACTTAGTACAATTATTCTTCATATTCCTGGGTAGGTTATAGGATACTTTTCATCAAGCGTCAATTAAAAGGAGCAGAGCAGTGGAGGGAAATGTTGAAAAAACGGAAGAAATTACTCCATTTCTTTAGCGCCCGTCGCGTGTGCAGTCTTAATGGTTAAAGTTACAGAGTACTCGAGGCCTAATCGTTTCTCCTACAACCACAAGTGCGAAATTACTAATCCTTAGAAGGCAAGTGATGCACTGGGTGACTTCTCTGATATTGTTCTGGAGTTCATGGACGGAGACAAATTGTCTACTATTCTGTCATCTTATAATAGAAAACAATTCAAATTCCATTTCCTTATTGGATATTCTGCAGCAAGAGTGTCAAATTTTGAAGTGTTCGTACGTTGCGCACGATGCTCAAGAATAAGAGTCCCGCTGTGACTTGAAACTAGTAGAGTTTTTCTCGGTACATTCACATAATTTCGAAGTTATCTTATTTAAAATATCACAATGAACAGAAAATGTATTGGTAAGCGTACAACTTAAAAACGCAGGGACCAATTTTTCCAATTCCATTATTTGGTTATGTTCGTAATTTTTAGAAGAATCGGTTTAGGAAAGAAAGTGTTTGATAAGGATACCACAGCGATTGTGTTCGATCCATCCCCAATCCCTAAATCTCCAAAACCCTAATTCCTACAAGGTCGGCAACGCACTCGTAACTCGTCCGTTGCCATGTCCATGGGCGGCGGTGATTGGTTACCATCAGGTAATCCTTCTGCTAGTTTGCCAACCTAATACATAAAAAATACACGTGCGAAGCAAGGGCTAGCCGCTAGTTCTAATTCAGCATGTCTCTCGATAATTACTATATTTGAAGTATTTCGTCCTTCAGGGAGAAAACCCATAAAAGGTAAATTATGGATCCATCATTCATTTCCCGTTTAACTAGTACCGTAAAGGGAATCTCGAACCTTGTATTTCCTAGTTATACATATGAACTAATGAGTCACCAATATTCAGTTGCCATGTCGTAATATTGGGGCCAAGCCGTGGCAATAAACTGTTCAGTTTTAGTGTCAGCAATCAGAGTCCGACAATTCCATGTTTATTTGCTTTCGTTAATGAAGTTCGTTGTAAAACACAGTTACAAAGTGTGCCTTCTTAATAAAGTTGTTATTTTTAGACTTCAACTGTCGTTAAAATAATCGCCATCAGCCTATAAGTGCCAACTGCTGAGCAAAGGCCTCTTCTGACATGGGGCAAGTTAAGCATTAATCGCTACGCTTACTCAAGGCATTCATATTATGGATGGCATCAACACGGGAGACGATAGCAGAGACGTTATGAACGCGTTGCCGACTTTTTTGGAGATTAGGTATTTTGCGATTTAGGGATTGGGGGAGGAGAAGGCCTCTGGTAACCTAACTCACACGGCGAAATACAACGCTGTGGTTGATTCACGCCGATTTTCTGTGAGACCCAGGTATCACTCCGGTCGAGCCGACCCATTCGTGCCGAATTATGGCTCTCCACAGTTACACACATGGTTTTTAAAATGCGAAAAGAATAAGGAATCTTTATCATATTTATCAGAGTGTCATATCCCCTGTTAAGTTCTAACCTCGAATGGATAGGTCTCTCCTATCAGGGAACAGTAGGCCGGTCAATATTTACCAACTTCAAAGTGTCTAATATTGGTATTATTATGAAAATCACTGAAACTGTCATCTCAGTGGTCCGTTTGACATGATTGTATTAGGAGTTCTGTCCTTTAGGGACTTGGGGGTTTCCGAGTCTCTTCCATACATATTTATTAGATGAAACATAGAAACTATTTACTTTTGAGTGTCTTTATAGGGAGGATTAGAATTGATGACAAGCATTGAAGGATTTTAAGGTAGATGATAGTTTTTGGAAATAAACTAATTAATAAATATAAAGATGAATAAGTTCTTTGAAATAATTATTTATTAATAATCCGATTGTTCCTTTGGGTATTTTATAATGTTTTTTAAATTTTATAGTAGCGTGATGTTTTATAGCCTACTAGCTTTTGCCCGCGACTCCGTTCGTGTGGAATAGTGACTTCCTGCAGATTCTTGGTATAAAAACTATCTTTCTCGAGCTCTAAATTATGTCTGTACCATAAAACACAGAAATCAGTCAGTAATTTATATTAAGGCGTGGAGAGAAGACAGACAGAGTTACTTTTGCATTTATAATATTAGTTTGGATGTTATAAGTATGTATAATGTTTTATATTTTATATATTTGGATGTTAAAAGTATGTTTTTCCTTGTTTAGTTTTTGAGTTGGTTTCCTTGGTCAAAAGGGATATAAAGATTTACGCCTATCGTTGTAGAAAAGCGAAAAATATGTTTTACTTACAACATATACATATGTATATATATAATTCTAATAAGGTATTCCTCTACTTACGCCCTTAGATAAAATAGCGTGGTATTTTATTATTGTAAACACACACACTAACAATGTTTATCCGGTCAATGGCTCGATTCTCTTGATAGTACACAAACTGAAAGCTCTTGTATGTATTTCATGGAAAATTTTCGCGATGACGTCACTGCCTCGTAAAATGGGTACTTCGGTATAATTTATTGTTTTAGTTTCGTTGTAATTTAAACCTTAGTACTGATGCTTTGTGGTTTATTTTTGTTAGTTTTTCGAATGTGAGAAGTTATGTGTTAATAAAATAAAGTTATTATTAATAAAATAAATTGTTAATTAAAGAAAATAATACATCACCATAATTTAGTCTTCTCGTGGGTTCTTTATGCCCAGGCAAAGGGACTACGTAGCTGCATTGGCATTCAGATTCTGGGTTCAAAACCTGGCAAGTACATTGCGTAACAATGCCAATCGCATTTCGAGTTGTTCGTGACTTTCTTAAATTATTTAGACAGCACTGATAAACGGTGAAGGAAAACGTCGTCAGGAAACCTGCACGTCGATTCTATAAAATTTGTTTCATTTTGAATCTTGTTCGAGTGTGAAGTGAGCGTCGAAGTGTCGGGGAAATTACATTATAGAGTGCCACTTTTAAGGTCATCTCATACTTTATCTATCAAAATGTTGCGGACAATTTAGTTCAACTCGCAAGTGTAGCGCTAGTGTACTACTTCTCACAGCGGATTCAGATTCGATGTTTAGAATGAAGTCTTAAAGAATCACACTTACGCCCGGTTTCTGAAAGGCTTGTC